CAAAAATTCACCGTCCAAATCAAATTCACATATATATACTACTATTCATAGTCAAGCTATGAATAGTGAAAGATAGACGTCCAATTTCATTTCAATTAACATATATATTACTATTCATAGTCAAACTATGAATAGTAAATGATAAGTTACTGAAATAACCCCTAAACTATTTGCCACTTGCTAATTTTGGAGGCAACTTTTCCACAACAATCGTGGCCGAGCTAAAAGTGCTTGCCCATTCAGTTGGGCCTCTACTGAAAATACAGTTTTTGGCACCTCAATCGACGTGGCATCGGCCGCCTGCCATCACAAATGCCCACATCACGATCCATCCACCATTTGCCACAGACCTACAACAAACTTTGCAGATGTATCTACAACCTCTTCGTCTGCCACTTGGTTTCCTGATACCGGGGCCAACAACCACGTCACACCGGACCTAGCCAGCATGGATGACTCTCATACTTATAAAGGCAGTGACAACCTTCACGTAGGAAATGGTAAGGGACTTCCTATTTAGATATTGGTTCTTCTCGAATTCACTCACCCACCAAAACTTTTCATCTTTCCAATATTCTTCATGTACCAGACATTACCAAGCATCTTCTTTCTGTCCAAACATTTTGTCTAGATGATAACGTTTTCTTTTAAGTTCACTCAACTTTTTTGTTATCAAGGACGAGGATACACACACCACACTTCTCATGGGCCTAGTGAGCATGGTCTCTATGCGCTACGTCTTCCAGAACTCAATTTCATTCCTCACATAGCTTTCTCTGTGACTCGTGCATCTCCCACAACATGGCATAGGCGGCTCAGACATCCTCATCAACGTCTTTTTCAGTTTATTTTTTCTAGTTTGTCTTTTCCTTTTACAAATAAAACGTGCCAAAATTTTGTTCATCATGTCAACTAGGCAATTCTTCAAAACTTACTTTTCATGTTTCTTCATTTCGTAGCAATAATATATTAGATTTGGTTTATTGTGATGTTTGGGGTCCTGCTCCCGTGCTTTCTTCTGATGATCATCGTTACTTTTTACTATGTTTTGACCATGATACTAGATATATGTGGATTTTTCCTTTGTCTCAAAAATCGGATGTCTATGATGTCTTTACAACTTATATCACAACAGATGAAATACAATTCTCCATAAAATTATAGAGAGTCCAAACAGATTGGGTGGTGAATTTCGCAATGTATCCTCATTCCTTACCAAACTAGGTATCCTTCACCATAGATCATGTCCCCACACTGGTGCCCAAAACGGATTTGTTAAACGACGACATCGACACGTCGTTGAAGCTTGGCTTGAGCTAATGGTGCAATCTGCCACACTTCAATGGTTTTGGCATTTTGCTTTTGACACCGATATTTAACTTATCAATCACATGCCCTCTTACACATCCAACAACCAATCTCCATTTCAGCATATTTACAAACATGCACTTGCTTACTCTTTTCTTTGTGTTTTTGGTTGTCTATGCTTCACTTACCTCCGGTCCTATAACTCTCACAAAATGGATTTTCGCTCCACTGCTTGCCACTTTCTTGGATATAGCCCATCACATCATGACTATCTATGTCTTGATCTATCCACCGATCGTCTATGCATCACTCGTCATGTCCGCTTTGATGAACAAACATTCCCTCTTGTCCTTCCAATCTTCGCCTTGATGTCTCCCTCACCAACTCCTACCCCACGCTCTTGTCCTTCCAATCTTCGCCAAAACCCCAAGCCAAAGTTTTCTTTCCACCCATCTGCTCACCACACCACCACCTCTATTACTAAATCTACATCCTTCACCATTGCCAACAAATCTCCGGAATGGCGCAAAGCAATGGAAGACGAGTACTCCGCCTTACTAAAAATGGCACGTGGTCCTTAGTACCTTCGGTACCTAATATTAACATTATTGACTGTAAGTGGATTTACAGGTTAACGCGTGACAAAGACGGAGCTATCACTCGCTACGAAGCTAGACTTGTTGCCAAAGGCTTTCATCAGCAACCGAGCATTGACTTTCACGAAACTTTCATCCCCGTAGTAAAGTCAACAATAATTCGAGTTGTACTTTCCCTTACCATTACACAAAAATGGCCATTACGACAACTCGACGTCCAAAATGCCTTTTTACATGGCACACTCAAAGAAACGTCTACATGAAACAACCACTAAGGTTCATTGACCCATAACATTTTGATCCATAACATTTTGATCATGTATGCTTCACAAATCCATCTAGGGTCTAAAGGAGGCCCCGGGCCTGGTTTCAACGTCTCAATCAGGTCTTACATAATCTTGGCTTTTAGGGCTCCAAAATAGATCCTTCTTTGTTCATTAACTTGCGCATTCGTACCAATCTTTCATGCTCGCACAAAACACTTGGATGTTGATTTTCACTTCGTTAGAGAAAAAGTTGCAAAGGGTGATCTTCGTGTTCAGTTCATTTTCAACACATGAGCAAATTGCCGACATCTTTACAAAGCCGCTACTGACTCCAAGATTTATCTTTCTACGATCCAAGTTGTAGGTCGTTCCCCGTCTTTAGCTTGCAAGGGCATATTAGACACGATTAGAATTATCATATAGTAGAGGGTACTAAAGTGTAATAGTCAATTCTATATATATATATATATATATATATATATATATATATATATATATATATATATATATATATATATATATATATATATATCTTGTAATCGTACATCACAATTGATAAACAAAAACGCATATTTGCGGATCTTTACTACTCAAAGAAATAAGATTGCACGTACGACTTCAATATTTTACCTTTCGAACTGAAAGTTGCAGCCAAGGCCACAAGCTCAAGAATGGCATACAATATATTTAAAAATCTGCAAAACAGAAAAAAGAAGTTATGAGTTGATTTTCTGATTTATTGATAATCAGGAAAAAGAAGTCACAAACAATATCTACGCTAATGATTATTGCAGTTGATCCAAATCGATAAATAGGACTAAGACAACCTACTATAATTAAAAAAGTGTTTCTATAAGATAGTACAAACAGAGGGCACTACGAACACGTTATGACTTAACTTTTGAACTGTGTTTATAAAAATCTAAGAAAAAACATCATAAATGGTCCCTGTGGTTTCCCAAAATCTGAAGTTTAATCCCCATGATTTAAAAACGTCATAAATGATCCTTGTGGTTTCAAAACTTTTGACGATTGGTCCTTATTGCTAACTCTGTTAAGTTTTGTCCGTTAACTAAAGGGCGTTTTCGTCATTTCACTACCACAGGGACCATTTATGATGTTTTTGGTTATTTAAAAAAACTAAATATAATTATTTAATATATAAATGCCTCTCTCTCTCTCTCTCTCTCTCTCTCTCTCTCTCTCTCTCTCTCTCTCTCTCTCTCTCTCTCTCTCTCTGCAACTCGATTCCTTCCCCAAACCATGTTGCTGTCATTTCCGATAAACCATTTCTTTCCGTCACTGGCAAATTGAAATTTCAGTGGTCATCAGATGAACACCTTACTCTTTAATCACCACTGCCCCTGATTTCTCCTCCCACGAACCAAGAAAGTTCCAAATAATGATCATGGAAACGAAGATATGTGAAAGTTTTCATAACCTAAAGTTTATTGATTACAATCAACCCAGAACCAGATACGAGAATTAAAGAGAAGAAAATGAGCAAAAAATTTACTTTCTTTAATGCCTGCTTGTACCAGTCTTGCTTGCAATCGAACACGTAATGGGAACGAGACTCAACCTCTTCACCAACGAAGATGGATGCGAAGTAACATGGGAAATCCGTCAGAGATGTAGAATCAATTTGAGTTCTGATTTAAGGGTTCTAGATTCGATTTTAGTTCTGATTTTAGGGTTCTAGAATCGACTTCAACCTCATAACACACATAGATGTAGCGTTAGATATGGAGGTCTTCATACTCAAAAACCCTTTTGTACATGTTCGTTTATGGTCGTCGGAAATCCAATCGAAACCCTAGCAGCTTCTCGCACCAGAGATGGGGGTTTAAAGGGTACGGTGCAAATGGTTTTTGGAGTATTTTCTGCTGGTATATAAAGACGATTTTGAAGATGCAACAATATATGGTTATGTTCTTTATTTTTTGGGACAAACAAACAACGGCAGGTGGGGGATTTCGTAGGAAAAGATGAAATGGTCGACATTCCTGGTCACACACACACACACACAAAAAGAGAGAGAGAGAGAGGAGAGAGAGAGAGAGAGAGAGAGAGAGAGAGAGAGAGAGGGGCATTTATATATTAAATAATTATATTTAGTTTTTTTCTAAAATAACCAAAAACATCATAAATAGTCCCTGTGGTAGTGAAATGACGAAAATGCCCTTCAGTTAGCGGACAAAACTTAACGGAGTTAGCAATAAGGACCAATCGTCAAAAGTTTTGAAACCACATGGACCATCTATGACGTTTTTAAACCACGGGGATTAAACTTCAGATTTTGGGAAACCACAGGGACCATTTATGATGTTTTTTCTAAATCTAATTTAGAGTCAGGCTATTGTAGATTGCAGTTTGCGTCAAAAAGAAATCTCAGTTGAAACCCCCAAATTTAGAGCTCATAGATTGCATCTTATCCTTAGACTCCATAATGTGTCAAAGGAACTTCTCCAATTTTGTTGTAAATAACCTAAAAAGATGCCTGATAGTAACAACTATATAAGGACCGATCATCTTTCAAGTGCTAATTTTGCAAATAATCCACATTGAGAATTGGTTAAAAGATCAAATAAATTAAGAAAATAATAACCACATACGGAAATAATGAACTTTTCAAAATGTCTCATTCCACACAAAGGGAAATTGCCACCCATGCTGTTTGTGGCATTTTTATCGATAATGGGGACTTAAAACCCTGCCAATTACGAGTGACACATGGTCATACATTGCTATACCTTTAGTCCTAACCAGGAACACTAATAGGTTTATAAAGTAACATACAAAACAGGAAAGAAGAGTTAAATATAGACAACTACATACGTGCAATCCTCCGCAATTTTGCAATGAACACCACCACCTCCAGATAAACCCAATCTCTGAAGCTATCATAAAAGTGAAAAAATGCACGTCTCCCATGACGGTTGAGAAGTAGAGCGCCGCATGCTATCCAAAATCCAGTAGCAAAACCAGTGGCCCCACCAATATAGAACCATCCCCACAATTCATTTGTGACTTCCTCATCACCCTCGCTTTTACCAACTTGTAAGTCTTCATCTCCTGGACATTTTCTGGTAAGGGGAGGTCCACACAGTCCTAAATTTCCATCATAGCTTGAAGGTTGAAAGGACTGGAGTTGTGTGCTAAGTGGGATTCTCCCGGACAAGTTATTAGATGACATGTTTAGGTAACACAATGAAGTCATTTGAGACATGCTTGATGGTATCCCTCCTGATAAACTATTTCGAGATAAATCCAAAGCTAAAAGTTTTTTCATCTCACCAACTTGCTGTGGAATCTCTCCAAGTAGAGCATTCCTTGACAAGTTCAGGGCAAGCAGTTCATGAAGATTGGTGAGTTCATATGGGATATGTCCTGTTAGATTGTTGCTTGACAGGTCAATACTCTTCAACAATCCCAGATTACGGGTGAATTCACGCTCATCTCCTTGCCACTCGATCATTGCATGGTCAACATACTCCTCTTCAGTGGGATATGGAAGAATAAAATTTGAAAAGCTTCCGAATGGACTTGTATAGGGATGCACGTTTGGTGGCGCTAAGAATCCTTCTTGAGCCATTCTTGTAAGATTACTTAAACATGAGGGGATGCTTCCGTGGAGATTGTTCCTTGAAAAGTCTAAAATTTGAAGATTTGGTAATTTACATAATTGTAAAGGGATGGTTCCGTAGAAGTTGTTTGATCTTAGGATAAGAACATACAACCCCGATAAATTTTCCCCAATCCAAACAGGCACATTACCAAAAAATCTGTTTGTCCCCAAATCCAAGAAGTTTAACTTCGTACAATTTTTTAGAGACGAAGGCAATTGTCCAGAAAAGTTGTTCTTGTATAAATACAACACCTCGAGGTTGATCAAAGATCCAACAGATATAGGAAGCTTTCCAAATAGACTGTTGTCTCCTAGATTAAGAACTTTCAGTTGATTGAAATGCCACAAACAGTCTGGAAGTTGTCCGGTTAGAGAGTTATGGGAGATGTCAAGAAATTCCAATAACCCATCGACAATTTTGCATAAGAAGGAGATTCCTCCAGAGAATTTGTTTCTGGAAAGATTTAACGATGTCAAACTAGAAGGAAGATGCGGTATTGGACCGTTAAAGCTATTTGAACTAAAATCTATCATTTGAGTGCCGAAAAAACTTTCTGATAAATCTGGTACTTCCCCACTGATGTTGTTGGAAGAGAGATTCAAAAAGAGTAATTGCATGTTCCAAAATTCTGGAGGAACTGTGTCTGAGATTCTAGTGTTGGAAATATCAAGACGGGTAAGTCTTTCTAGCTTTTGAATCCATTTGGGGAAGTGAGGGCCTAGCTTGCAAGAGCTCAGATCAATATGCTCTACATAAGAATGTTTTGACATATGATCTGTGGAACGAACTCCTTGGAGTGGGTTTTTTGAAAGATTTATATAAAGAGCCTTCGACTTTCCAATGTTTTCAGAGATGGCACCAGAAAAATTATTTTGAGAAACATCAATCTTTTCAAGCCAGGGTAGTTCCCACAATTTCTCGCTTATGGTTCCATTTATTTGATTATCTGCTAGGTCCAGATATGATAGGGATGAAAAGTTATGGATGTCATCAGGCAATGACCCCGTAAATTGGCTTCTTCGAATAGACAAGTCTTGAAATGTTAGCAATGTGCATCCAGACAAGTTGTACAGAAAATCAGGAAATTTTACAACAGCTGAGTTGTTATAGAAGTACAAACGTTCCAAACTACAGAGGTTACCAATATATTTGGGTATCCTATCTAACATGTTGCCATAGAGATAAAGAAAACAAAGCTTATTGCTTGTTAAGGGGAACAACCAACGATACATGGATGAGGTCAGATTGTTGTTTCCAAGAAAAAGGGATTCAATAGATGAAGAAGAGTTGAGAAATGAAGAATATGGATACATCACCTTTGAGAGCTCACATCCCTCCAACCTTATATATGATAGCTTCCGGAGACTCGAAATTACATTCACCCAATGGTTTGCTTTGGCTAGGGAAATCTCATCCATTTCAAGTACCTCCAAATGAGAGAGATGAGACAACCACTCTATGTTTTCAACTCTACATCTTCCAACAAGAGCAAGAAAAAGCTCTTGCAGGTTGGTGAGATTTCCAAACTGTGGTGGAATGGTTCCATAAAGAAAGTTATGGGAAAGGTCAAGGTGCCTTAATTGGGTCAAGGAACCAATGGACTTGGGAATGGTTCCGTTAAGATTATTGTAACGAAGGTCAAGGAACTTCAATAGAGTCAAGGAACCAATGAAGGTGGGAATGGTTCCATTAAGATTATTGTGGCCAAGGTCAAGGTGCCTTAATAGAGTCATGGAACCAATGAAACTGGGAATGGTTCCATTAAGATTATTTTGGCCGAGGTCAAGGTACCTCAATAGAATCATGGAACCAATGAAGGTGGGAATTGTTCCATGAAAAGAATTTTCCGAAAGATCAAGATGATTCACGTAGCTTAAGTTAACCAATGAGTGGCTAATCTCACCTTCAAGACTAAACAAACTAATATCAAGCTCCGTGACATGATGACCTGTTCGGTTGTCACACGTGACTCCTTCCCATGAACAGCAGTCATCATCTTCAGGTTTCCACATAGAGAGACTACCATCAGGGTCATGAAGGTTTGCTTTGAATTGAAGGAGAGCATCTCTCTCCTTATCCAAACACTTGTTCGTGATAACACTATTATCGTCTCTTTCTTCCACTGCTACCAATTGGTTGGCAGTTGTATTCTGAAAGCATACAAAGAGAAGTGAGAAAATTATAAAAACACAGGGATGCATGATGTAAATGCAGATGTTGGTGATTTTTGTTGTGTTGATGTATATATGAAGATGCCCCTATGAAGTTTTATATATATAGTGCCAACTGCAAAGATGAATTATTACAGTGGATGGCCTACTGGCCTCAAATTAGTGACCTATTTGTGTGGGGTTACAATCCAGATACCCACTGTTACTTTAATGAGTGAAGATGTTGAAATTTAAATTGGCCCAATGTGATACATTAATGTTTATGATTACGATCAACACCCACACACACACATTTAACTGATGCGATAAAAATAAAGAACACAAGAGTTGCATGGTAGAGTAATTTTATTTAATAACAATATCCTTAAACAGTTTTTTAGTTTTTACTTTCACATTTAGATAGTTCGTTAAATTACAACGAAAAAAGATATTTAATTAATAATATTATAATTTTAGATTACGGAAATCCCATGCCATGGAAAGTGAAGAATGTATTATGTAGCTAGCAAACAAGGCACTAATTGATTGAAACATGTAAAAAGAAGGCAATGTGACTTGATAATGTAAGAAGAATGCAGTGTGACTCGATATTGTAAAAAGAAAGCAATGCTGACTCAATAATGTAAAAAGAGGGACAAGACTTCTAATTGACAATGGTGGCCCTAAAGGACAAAAGGGTGAGTGAGACCTGAGACGTCTTTCTTTCTTATACCATAAGAAATGCACTAAAACAGATTGACACAGCACAATTTTTTTTTTACATCGTAAGAATTATCCTTCTCGATTGTTGGATCTGATCTTAAAAACTAAGAAAAACATCAAGACAAAACAACAAATAGTTTATATCCATTCATTTGTTGCTAACTGAATATTATCCGAAACAATGAGATCTCTTAGAATTATACAATGGAAAATAAAATATGAAGAGAAAAATCAAACTAAGAGTCTCATTCTGTACGCTTCGATTTTTCATTCCCTATGGAATGAACCATTCTGTACGCTTCGATTTTTTCATTACCAAACATAAGTTAAGTCTTAACCGTTAGACAAACTACTCTTAAGATGTTTGTTTATACATATGATGTTACACAATTATCCAAAAAAGGATGTAGCTTTTAGGGATTCAGACCACTATTAAACTGAGTGAAATCCAATTTCAGTGGTTTGAGTTTGACAATGAGAATCGGGGAATGATTGTTGGATTAATGCCAGTCAATTCCACCCAAAGTGGCAGACCCCATCCCCTCCCACTCCCACACACATTAAAATTTAATACCCACTGTCCCACCACTCACTCCCACCCACATCTGTTTGTCAAAACACAACTGCTTGCATTACTTAATGCAAGAATCAGCAACGCACTTTCATTCATTTGTTCCTATTACAGAATCGTACTTCAAAAAATCTACATCAAATACAAAGCATTTTTTGCTGATATAAATTGGTAGATTTTTCAAAGCACAATGTCCTAGTAAGAAAAAAATGAAAATACAATGGTTTAATAAGCAAAAAAAAAAAGTAAAAGTAGAACGCTATAATAAAAAGAAAATGAAAGTAAGTTGCTATTTCTTGCATTTAGCGATACAATATTTCATACATGTTGTCAAAAAAAAAATTTACAGATATGATACTTACAGTTATTATAAAGAGACCGTGGTTTCTTGTTTCTGATGTTTTGTTTGCTTTGGCTTTGGTTCACCTCCCAGAACCACTAAACCCTTTGGAGCAGGTGGTTTTCCAAGCAACCCTTGTCATCATTAAAACACCTAAATTTAAATTGTCTAAAAAGGGCTTTTGTTGTTACCTAACGTTTTGAATAAATGGAACAAAGAATAATGAAATTAAAGAAAGAAAAGCAATGAATTGATAACATACCTCCAAATGCTTTTCTGCTTTTTATTGAATCTTGAATCTGGGATTCTTCTGGATTTAAAGAGATAATATCTCCCTTCTTAATGGGTTTGAAATTTTCAAGAACAACATCAAGGATACAATTCAACTCTGATCCCTCAGTTTTTTTTTTGTCAACATTTGCTCTATGAAGAGTGTCATCAGCACCTACACTGGTTCCAAGTGTGAAAAATGGTCTCTCTTTAACAATAACGGCAACTAAGTTCTTGAATCCAGCACATTGAAAACAAAAGAAAAATATTCACAACCGTTTAGTAACTATCTCATGAGTAGCACTATTCAACCTTGTGATTTGTGAAAAGGGCAACAAGTGTTTTAATCCAATGTTTCCAACTAATCTCACTCATTCCCTCCATTAGTACATGCTATCTTGTATACACTCTATATCCAGAATATTGTCTAATATTGTTCTAAGAGTGCATTCTTCATGAAAGAAATGTACCTTAAGGATAAAAATGATACACACTTAGTCTATTTATATCAACAATGAGCTTAAATCAGAGTACACTAACAACTGCACAATACCATATGAAATTCTACGCATATAAATAATGAGCTCCCATTTCATCTAGACATTTACATGTAACACGTGAACTAAGGGCATCCACAATGGGGGTTTAATATGAGTTGAATAGATGATTATTTGGATTGAATAGAGGTTGAATGGAGTGTGGGTGATGACATGGAGGAGGGTTGAATGGAAGAGTTGTATGATCATTGAGTGGTTGAATGAAATTAATCTTTTTCTTTTTCAATTAAATTTCAAACCAAATATATATGTAATCATATTTTCATTTTATTTTATATTTTCATATTATTATTTTTAATTAAACCACAAATAAAATTAACCATATTTTTTTATATTATATTATTTAGGTTTCATGTTTTTAGGTTTCGTGTTTTTTTAATTAATATATTTTTAGGTAATAATGTTTTAAGTTTCATTATTTTTAATTAATGTATTTTTAAGTATTGTATTTTTTTTAACTATTATATCTTCTATTTTTAAATTTATAATTATGTTTAAAAATATAATGATGATGATGTGGAAATCCATTAAACTTTGTTGGGTTTAATGGAGTGTGGATGTTAAGGAGTAAAGTTGAATAAAAAGTGAAATGCTGATGTGTCAGTGATGTGGCAATCCATTGAACTCTATAGAGCTCAATGGACTGTGGATCGCCTAAGCACATTCATGAAAGTTGTCTTTGAAAGTTGGAAAGCACGCCAAAATCAACAATATGCTATCTGTCTGAAGTTTGGTTTGCAGGAAAGTGTGTGGTTATACTCTATTTTATATTTCATTATATCATATTAGGGTTTATCGAGGATTTACCGATCATCTTCTGGGGAAGTTCGATGGATGAACATAGATGGAATCAATAGTTTTCCACGTACCTTAATTGATGGATGATTTGAACTCATTCCTGTGATCCTTTCCTCAAATCTTTTAGTTGAATACTTGAATTTACGCTGATACAGTGATATGTATGAAGCGTTTGGCACCAAAACATTGAACACTTTCATCGATACCCCATTTGAGAATTGAGATGAATTCATTTGGGCTCGCACTTGCAATTTTTAAGTGAGTGGGTTGAGTTGGGCCAAAAACTTCTGTTTTGCATTATGATTTGCAAATTGCAAATTTCCAACTTTGCAACTTTGAATTGAAGGAGAGCATCTCTCTATCATTATCCAAACACTTGTTAACAACACTATTACCATCTCCTCCTCCCATTGTTGGAATCAACCCTTGAACCTAGTGCAAAACAGAAAACATAGTACAAGGGGAAGCTTTTGGGGCCAAATTTTCTTGATTTATTCCAGGTGCTCAAGATAAGAATCAAAAGAACAAACTACTTAAACAAAGAAATCCCTAGAAGATAGCAACTAACTACCCGTAATCTACTTCTACTAAATAAATGGAATTGATGGCCTACACGGCCTTTTACTTGTTCAAACCTCAAGAAAGACTGAAATGCCCTTGAAGAGAGTCTCTGTCTTTTGAACACGTTTGGATTAAATCCAACATACTCTCCCTTAAACCAAAGTGTTGAGGTCATGCCATTGACCTGTCATACTCCTTCATGTACTCCCAACACGTCTCTCACCTCCTAAAATTGTGTCTTCCCCATTGACTTAGTAAAGATGTTTGCTCTCTGTTTCTTGTTGCACACATGTTGGACAACAATTTCATTTTCCTCCACACGTTCACGTATGAAATGGTATCTCGTATCAATATGTTTGCTTCTCCTGTCGAATATGGGATTCTTTGCCAAGTCCAAAGCAGACATGTTGTCAATGTACAAAACCGATGCCTTGATCTTGCAGCTAGTTATTTCACTTAACAACCTTCTGATCCAAATCCGTTGGCATGTCGCCGAGGTGGCTGCTATGAATTCTGCTTCACGGGATGAAAGGGCGATATATGCAACGATGCTTGAATGATCCCCATATCACCAAATTCAAATTTAGATAAAATGCCTTTCCACTCATGCTTCTTCTATCATTCACGTCTCTTGCCATGTCGCTAACAGTGTACCCTGGTGATATAACACATTCTCTATTACCCTTTCCAGTTTCCATATACCAAAACATAGTCTATGGTCCCTTTCACATACCTCAAGATGTGTTCACGGATTTCATATGTTGAACTGTGGGTCTTTCCATGAATCTACGTACCAGCTCAACTCGCGTCAGGTTGGTATGGGTATGGGTATGGGTATCGGTATGGGTATGGGTCAGATATCGTAGCGCACCATCCACGCTCCTATATTGTGTAGAGTTAACTTGTACTCCATCCTCATCCTTGGTTAGTTCCAATTTAGGTTCCATTGGGTACTTACAGGGATTGCACTCCTCCATGCTACTATTGGCTAGTATTCTCTAATTGGCATATGTTGCTTGCTTCAGAGTGATTGTTCCTTCATGCTGATGGACTTCAACTCCAAGATAATATGAGAGTTTTCCAAGATCACTCATCTCAAATTCCCTGTTCATTTGTTCTTTGAATCGTGTTATTTCGTTGTTACAGTCACCTGTAACAATAAGATCATCTACATACACACCCACGATCAATGTCTTTCCCTTTGTGTTCCTTGCATATACGCCATATTCTTGCAAGAACGTTTTGAACCCAATTTTGTTGAGATACTTGTCGAGCCTTGAATTCCAAGCTCATGGTGCTTGTTGAAGTCTGTATAACGCCTTGCTTAGCTTATACGCCTTATTCGGTTGATCATGATTCAAAAAGCCCTCCGTCTAGGTCACATAAACTTCTTGTTCCAGGTCACCATTTAGAAATGCAGATTGACATCAAGGTGGTGTACAGGCGTGTGGGGTTCTGGTTCACTGACTCCATCTTTTATTTCTAATGGTGTAAGTCCCTCAACCGTGAATGTCATTCCTGCAGTAGCCTTGACCTTTTCTGCCTCTCCCCATGGCCAGATCTTGTGTTCTTCAAAGCAAACATCTCTACTCAATGTTTAGATCTAGTAGCCTGTAAGCTTTTGTACCAGTCTCAATTCCCAAGTGAACCATTTCTTTACTTCGACCAGCAAGTTTCCTAAGGTGTGTACCAGTCACCTTAATATGGGCAACGCATTCAAGGACCTTTACATGTTCCACATTTGGCTTTCATCGGGTTCACATTTGATACAAGGTTGAGTTCTCTAGGGCTTGTGTAGTTACACAATTTAAAATTTACACCACATTACACACTGCCTCGCCATCTCCACAATAGTACGATCACAACAGTACAAGGTCGTGCAGTGTCGTATTATGACCATACATTCTAGACCCTCCCTAGCTTTGCCACTATGTTAAACAAATTAACTTTCCACACGCAAAACATTTTAAAATAGCCACCCACAGATTATCATAACTTATTATATTATGTGATTGGAATGATAATGATTTCATAATAAAAGTTTTCTGTTACCAAAAAACTGTTATTGTGAGAACCAACTAACAGTTCTCTCAATCCGGTAGGCTAATGAAGAAAACCAAACTGATGTAGTATGACTTTGTCCACACTCCACAACTGATCTTATGGTTTTTAGTCTTACATTTGTACAGTTTTAAAAATAATTAGTTTCATATAACATATAATTATATTCTTGTCATTGTAGAATATGGAAATCCCACAAGTGACAGAATATATTTCATAAAAAAGAATGTCGTGTTGACTCAATATAGTAAAAAATAGCAACATGGTGGACAACAACAATAAGGAGATTAGATTCACACATTAATACAATTATACAACTTTTTTATACAGAAATAAATCCTCCTCTATCATTGGATTGAACTTAAAATGTAAGAGAAACATCAGAAGAAAACAACTAGATTCGATTCAGTCTCTTATAGCTAACTGAACATTATCGGAAACGATGGGACCTATAGAAATTATAACATGGACAACAAAAAGAAGGAGAAAAATCAAACTAAGAGTCTCACATAGCATCAAATAAACAATTTACAAGCACAAGTTTTTTTCATGCATTTCAGAAATCGCACTTTAATTTTACAAAATGATTAAACAATAAGACATAAGAGGCGATGCCAGCCATAGTGGACACTAGACAGTAACCATCGACATCACTTTGTTGTCTACTGGTGTGTGGCCCAATGTTTATAGGCCCAATATTTGTTCGAGAAAACAGCAGAAAACCCAATAGTACTTATCATTTTTTTTATTTTTTCCAAATTAATAACTAATAAAATAGAATTAAAGATAGACTAATTCAAGTAATTACAATACTACGATCCTAGCCTTAAAAAGAATAGTAATGGTCTACTCAAGATGATATACATATTAGAAAATAAGTTAAAAATAAAAACCAGATGAGAAACTATGTATGTCTAACTCTTTTCAAAATTGCAATGAACACCACCACCTTCACATAAACCCAATCTTTGAAGGTAGCAAAATAGTGAAAAAGTGCATGCCTACCACGACGGTTGAGAAGTAGAGCACCACATGCTATACAAAATCCAGTAACAAAACCGGTGCCCCCACCAATATAGAACCATTTCTCAAGCTCATCTATGTCTACCTCATCACCCTCGCTTTTACCAATTTGTGATGCTTTATCTCCTGAACATTTTCTAGAAAGGGGAAGTCCACACAGTCCTGTATTTCCATCGTAGCTTGAAGGTTGAAAGGATTGGAGTTGAGTGCTGGATGGGATTCTCCCTGACAAGTTATTACATGACACGTCTAGGTAACCCAAAAAATTCATCTGAGACATGCTTGATGGTATCCCTCCTGATAAACTATTTCTAGATAAATCCAAAGCTAAAAGGTTTTTCATCTGACCAACTTGCTGTGGAATCTCTCCGATCAGAGCATTCTTTGACAAGTTCAGGGCAAGTAGTTCATGAAGATTGGTGAGTTCATGTGGGATATGTCCTGTTAAATTGTTGCTTGACAGGTCAATGCTCTTCAACAATCCCAGATTCCTAAAGAATTCACGCTCATCTCCTTGCCACTCGATCATTGCATGGTCAACATACACCTCATCAATGAGATCCCAATGCCACTGTGATGTATAGGGATGTACGTTTGGTGGTGGTAAGAATCCTACTTGAGCCATTCTTGTAAGATTATTCAAACATGAGGGGATGCTTCCATGAAGATTGTTCCTTGAAAAGTCTAAAATTTGAAGATTTGCTAACTGACATAATTCTGAAGGGATGGTTCCCAAGAAATTGTTTGATCTTAGGATAAGAACATACATCTCTGATAGGTTTTCACCAATCCAAACAGGCACATTACCCGAAAACTTGTTAGCCCCCAAATTCAACGAGGTTAAGCTCGTGCAATTCTTTAGAGACAAAGGCAATTCTCCAAAGAAGTTGTTCTTGTATAAGTATAACGCCTCGAGTTCTATCAAAGATCCAATAGAGGGAGGAAGCCTTCCAGATAGACTGTTGTGTCCTAGATTAAGAACCGTTAGATGTTGGAAATGCCACAAACAGTCTGGAAGTTGTCCTGTTAGAGAGTTATGGGAGAGGTCAAGAAATTTTAACCACCCATCGACCATTTGACATAAGAAGGAGATTCCTCCAGAGAATTTGTTTCTAGAAAGATTTAACAATTCCAAACTGGAAGGAAGATGTGGTATTGGACCATTAAAGTTGTTGGAACTCAAATCTATCATTATACTACCGGAAAAACTTGATGATAAATCTGGTACTTCACCACTGATGTTGTTGGAAGAGAGATTCAAAGAGTTTAAATGCATGTTCCAAAATTCTGGAGGAACGGTGTCAGAAATACTAGTATTGGAAATATCAAGCTCGTTAAGTTTTTTCAGCATTTGAATCCATTTGGGGAAGTGAGGCCCTAGCTTACAAGAGTTCAGATCAATATACGTTACAGAAGACAGGTTTGACATGTCATCTGTGGAAGGAACTCCTTGGAGTGGGTTTTTTGAAAGATTTATAATAGAAGCCTTCGACTTTCCAATGCTTTCAGAGATGGCACCACTAAGATGATTTTGAGAAACATCAAACGCATGAAGGGGTAGTTCCCAAAATTTATCGCTTATGGTTCCATTTATGTGATTATTTGATAGGTACAGAGCTTCTAGGGATGAAAAGTTTTGAATGTCATCAGGCAATGGCCCTGTAAATTGGCTTGTTTGAGCAGACAACTGTTGCAATGTAAGTGATGTGCATCCAGACAAGTTGTTCAGAAAATCAGGAAATTTGACAACAGCACGGTTGTTATTAAAATGCAAACTTTCCAAACTACAGAGGTTACCAAGATATTTGGGTATCCCATCTAACATGTTGCCAGAGAGATCAAGAATATGAAGGCTATTGCTGGTTAGTGAGAACATCCAATGATAAATGGATGAGGTGAGATTGTTGTTTCTGAGAGAAAGGAAAGAAATAGATGAAGAAGAGTTGAGAAATGAAGAAGAATATGGATACATGACCTGTGAGAGCTCACATCCATCTAACCTTAAATCTGATAGTTTTGGGAGATTCGAAATCACATTTACCCACTGGTTTGCTTTGGCAAGGGAAATCCCTTCTATTTCTAGTGCCTCCAAGAGGGGTAGATGAGACAACCAGTCTAGATTTTCAACTCTACAGCTTCCAACATCTCGAAGGTTAAGCACTTGCAAGCTGGTGAGGTTTCCAAACTCTGGAGGAATGGCTCCATGAAAAGAATTGGAGGAAAGATAAAGATGACTCAAGTAGGTTAAGTTAATCAATGAATGGCTAATCTCACCTACAAGACCAGCGGAGGGAATATGAAGCCCTGTGACATGATGACCTGTTTGGTCATCACACATGACTCCTTGCCATGTACAACAGTCATCTTCTTCAGGTCTCCACGTAGAGAGACTACCATCAGGGTCTTGAAGGTTTTCTTTGAATTGAAGGAGAGCATGTCTCTCCTTATCCAAACATTTGTTAATAAGAGCATTATCATATCCTCCTCCTACTCCTTCGTCTGCTACGAATTCGTTGGCAGTTGTACTCTGAAGGCATAGCAAGAAAAGTAAGAAGATTATAAAAACACAAGGATGCATGATGTAAATGCAGATTTTGATACTTTTTGTTTGTCTTGATGTTTATATGAAATATGAAGATGCCCCTACAAAGGTTTATATAGTGCCAAATGTGAAGATGAATTTTTAAAGCCGATGGCCTCATGATATATACTGGTGACCTTTTTGTGGGGGAATACAATAATACTACAAGTCTTGGTAATTCGTATTTAGTATAAATATCTTTTCCAATATTGTGATATTTTTTGGTCATCAAATTATGTGATATAATTCTGAAAAAATAAAATGATGGAATCAAATAGAGTAACCATCCATGAATGGATATGACTATGTAATGGCAGTACTCCCATCCGGGCTCAGGTGCCCACCTTTAGTTTAATGAGTGAATAAACCGTTTTGCAACCATCACCAATTTTTCATCCCTCTTTAAGTCATTTCTTCATTATAACAAATTCAAACGCATGAAAACAACCATCGTGAAAAATACAAATTTGAGAAGAAATATTTCATCTAAACCTAATAAATTTATTTTTCGAGACATCTTTTGTATAGTTATAGTTTATGTACATTAATATTTATGACTCCGATTGACACACACACACACATTTATCTGATGCAAGAAAAACAAAGAACACAAGAGTTGCATGATTCATCTGACCAGGTCGTCTTACATTCACGGCTCTCTTTCCCTCAACGTCCCTCTAGCAACCATCAAACCCCAACTCGAGAGCCAGAAAAAAAGACTGCACAACTCAACAATTACTTACAATAATTATATTTTACTTATTAACAAAAAGCAGAGTAATTTTATTCAATAAAAATATATGTAGAAAGTTTTTTGTTTAGTTTCACAATTAGATTGTTCGTAAAATTACAACCAAAAAAAGATTTAATTGTAATGTTATCATTTTAGAATACGGAAATCTCATTGAAAGTGAAGAAGGTATGATTTAGAAAAGAATGCACTGATTGAAACAATAATGTAAAAAGAATGCACTAATGTAAAAAGAATTCAATGCTGACTCAAAAAGATAAAAAGAGGGACAATCCTAATTGACGATGGTGGCCCTAGCTAAAAGGAGTAAAGGGCCAGTGAGACATTCTTTCTTGTTTATACAAGATGGAGATAGACAACACCACAAATTCTATTATATCATTAAGAATCATCCACAAATTATTTTATATCATTAAGAATCATCCTTCTCGATTACTGGATCTGATCTTAAAATCTAAGAGAAACATCATGACAAAACAACACCTAGTTTAGAATCATTGGTTTATAGATAATTGAATTTTATCGGAAACGATTAGATCTATAAAAGAATAAAATATAAAGAGAAAGATCAAACTAAGAGTCTTGCATAGCATCAATTAACCAATGTGCACATGTTAAACTTCATAGAATTTCAGAAAACGGAGTAAGTTTAGAAGAAAAACTTAAAAGTTTGAGAAAGAGGTTACCAGATCACGGAGACGAGGTTTGATATCGTCAATAGTGGGTTTGAATTGGGACTTTTTATTGCTGATTTCTATTTTGCCTGCTACTGCTTCACCAATCACAATCACCGGCGGAATTCATCATTTTTCGGTGTAGTTTTCATCTTCCGACCCAAACCAACTAACAATAAGCCATACACCAAAACAGTATTTACTATTTAGTATACAGCCATACAATATAAGGCCCAGGCTCGATATATATGCTGACAAAAAATATACATGGCCCAATGATATCATGAAAATTGTTTTGTTTTCCCAAATTCATTTTCTTAAAAGTCCATACATATTTGTTTATATTAGAAAAAGAGAAATAAGGGAGTGCAGTAATTGAACTAACTAGAAGTTAGGGTTTTTGTATAAATTATCAAATTGTACGATTTACATTTTACTTTAAATACAATATTAAAAATAGCATAAAAGATGATAAGATATGTCATAGGCATATTAGTTTTAGACATGACAAGATATAAATTATATAACCAAAAGCAAATGCAAACTTAATTCATTTAACAAACAAAACTTTAATAATGTATGATGAACAAATGTTTAGCATTTTCTATCTAATAATTTTATATTTTAGCAAGTTGTGTCAAGATGACATGACGTCTTTGTTTATAGATTATAATTGATATATTTGTCATGTCATTTATTAAGGTAAAATTAGGTTTATGTTGAGTGTTGAAGTTGAGATCATCATATTGTTGTAATACAATTTAGACGATGTTGTGACAACTTTTAGCCATAGGGTTCTAGTTAATCTATTATCTTTTCACTAGTTAATCTATTTTATCAAATAGTAGATAACAGTTCACTTTCTCCAACTTCAAATGTTAAATTCGACTCAATATACCTATGTACCTATGTGTTCAATGTGAACGCAATTATTTATGTAGTAGTTTGAATATTTCATTGCCCATATATACACCCTTACCATTTAATACACATTATGTATCAGCTTTCCTTGCTCATATATACACCCTTACCATTTAACTTTTCCCGGTTAATGCAAAGGAAATTAAGTTTATATTTCCAATGGAAAATGTAGATGTGCAACTTGGAAATGTAGTGTCACACCCCCGCGTTGGCGGCGGAAATGTCCGGTTGTGTGACGTCATTATGGATCACATATATTGATTACATTGAACAATACACAAAAGTATAGCATAAATATGACTTCAATTGCCGAATAAAATCCTACATATTATACTAACTTTTAAAATACTGAAAATTAAATTACAAACAATGCCTTAACAAATAGGCTTAATAATAAACGATAACAAAAAAGTGGTATGCCTGCGATTCCATGATTGTTACCCAAAATATGTTACACGTCCGACTTTTAGTTCCTTGAGAATACATGTGATTTTAAAAACGTCAACATAAAGTTTCTGAGTTCACATGTTTATATCATTTGAATCGAAAGCACATTTCATACTAAAATTATTTGTTTTATTGTATATAAGTATTTCCAATTTATATAAACATGTATACTCTTTACCCAAACTGTATGTAAATACTATTTCAACTTATATATTAATTTGCTTTTAGACTGGTTATTAATGTTACAATGACTTCTCATAATGTCACATCTCTATTTTTACGGTCATAAAAGACCTTTTTTAATGCTTATTTTAAAACGTAGTTTATTTATAAATGCATAAATTTTCCAATAAAAGTATTTCCGAAGAAATATTTTTCATTCATTACTAAAGACTTGGTATGTTATAACTGATACAAGAAACATAAGCATAAACATCATCACCGCTAGCTTTACAACACCGTGTATGACTTATAAACACCTATAGATTGCTAGCCTATTGATGTTTCACCAAACTTGTCTAGAATAGTCTATGACCCGTCCTCTATATCCTACTAGATGACTAATCCCTAGTAGTATAATAATACCATGTTGGCACAACTTCTCATCATATTTTACTTTCTATAACCCTTCACTACCTAATATATTTAGGTACAATAGAATAAATAGTTCAATACTTTATTAAAATATAGTATAACCAAGTAACCCATATTGAGAACAAATATTGCAAATACAGACATTCGGCACACATAGCATCTAAGGAATTAAATACTTCATATATATGTGTAAGATGAAAGTAACTATGAACTTACATTTTAAAAGTGGATGAGTGGTGACTTCGGCAGGGCTTCGCCTAGTACCTTGTTTTTTTCCTTTGATATGACCTAGGTACGAATATCACTAAGTCTTAGGCTTATATTTTTTGGGGGCTAATGATAGTCTAGATTCCTCAACAATCCTAATGTCTACTGATATATAGCTGATAAGGAACAATTAGGTAAGATGATATCGGAGGTAGGGTCCGTTTGGTATACAGAGTATATTATTTGGAAATCTCATTTTAAACACATCATTAAATCTAGCCTAGACATCGCCCTCATAAGTAGATCAATCAGTATTATGATATGGAATCACTATTAAATCGTATTTATAGGTTCATATTAACGACTATGATTATAAATATAAGTTACACTTGAATTAAGATAAGTGCAACTTAACTTACAAGAGTTTTAGCAAAAAAACAGGAAATTGCACGGGCAGAATTCCAAAACCGAAAGCTCTATTTCGTCAGGCTCCTAGCCACTACAGAGCCTAGCTAGAAGGATCAAAAGTTTAGAAAAAAATCAGATTGAAGAGTTTGGAAGGGATCTAGAGAAATTGGAATGCTTTTGTGTGCATGAGAGATTCAAATGTTTCAACAACTATTATGTGCATGAATTGACCAATCAAAATTTAGGAAAAAAATCATTAATTAAATTAATAAGAGTAAATTAGTAATATTACATATGTATATTAATAATATCCAAAATTATCCCTTTTTTTAAGGGATCAATTTTTATTTATCTATTAAAACCCTAATATACCATTTCATCATCAACCATCGACGCTACAACCACTTCTTCATCATCCATCTCCGTTTTCAATTGTCTTCCTCCACATCTCTGTTGTTGGCCACCATCGTCTTCAAGCCGACCACCCTCCTTTGATAGAAACATTTCCGACAACCTTTGTGATTCCTCTGATGGAAACGTCTCTATGACCTTAATCCAACCGATTTCTATACCACCATCATCGTGATCTCCATTATCGTTGTTTTATTTTATGAATAAAACAGAAAAATATTGATGAATTGAACACCAAAGTATTGAAGGTATGTATTCATGTTCCTGATTATTTTATAAGGATAAGAATTTGTCGAGTGACTCTCCTTTATTAAATTAAGGAAGACTTCTGTGATTAGTGACTTTGTACACATGAATTAAGTTTTCGTAAAATGTTTGTGATGAAAATTCATACATACGGTAGATGATTTCTTCTTTTTAAATGATTATCAAATACTTATTACCTCCACTAATGGTTTATTTATTGTTTTTATATTGTTGGTTGTTTTTCATTTTTTAATTGCTAGTTTATTGTTTTCCTTTTTTATTTATTTATGAAATAGGTTATAAATCTTACTACTTAATTGTTTATTGTGTTAAAGTAGGATTGTTTGTAAAAGGGTTTGATCCGACGAAGCTTCAATGAAGAAATTATCTAATTTAATAGAAAGTTGATGAGTATAGTTATGAATTGGGATCTCTATAATAAGTCATGTTTATGATATCATTGGTTATAAATAATGATTTTTTTTTTCTTGCTGTCCTATCAGCTTACTTCATTCGGGACATGTTTAGGCCTTTTTCTTAAAGGGAACTCATGCAAAGTTTGGTATTCTACCAATACAATTTATAATGAATATTATTTTAAACATGCAAATTCTTATAGAATGAGAAAACACAATATTCCTTTAGAATGAGGTTAGTAACACTCATCAATTTGATGCCTATATTCTGAAAAAAAAATATCGATTTAAATCTCCTTATTTTTTTAAGATAGGAAAAGTAAAAAACATTATGTAACGCATTTTTTTGTCATTTAGAAGAAAATAATATGATTTAAGTGTATTTTGTGATGTATTCTGTCAGAATTTATTTGTATAAATGCATTCTGTCAGAATGTCTTTAAGAATGTTTGTTGACTAGTATATTTGCTTAACTGATAATAATAACGAGTAATGCATGTTATTATTTCAGAATGTCTTCGAATCAAATATTGATCATACCAGAGAAAGACTTGGAATGGAGTTAAAAAAACCAAGTATATTTGCGAAGAATTACATTCTTACGATAATACATCATATTTTCGAAAGAATAGTTGGAATCAAGTTGATTATTTGAACCATTGAAGAAGATCACATGCATTTTTTCAATAATTGTATATTTAAGAATGCAATTTTGTAATAATTTTATTCATTTTTTATGATATTCCGTTAGAATATGTGTAATTATATTAAAATGTATAAGGCTGTTATTCTGTAAAAATATATATTAATTTGTATTTAAGTTCAGATGTATATAAATAGATATAAAAATGTTGTTTTTATTCAACTAGAGATTCTAATAGAATATCATTGTGAAAGAATTACAGAACATCATTCTAAAAAAATAACACAGAACATCATTCTAACAAAATAACATTATGATACAATAAAATCGGTTTATGCACACAAATTACATTTGAATTGAACTAATTTAAAAAAAAAGATCAGATTTTTTAAATCAAGAGCATTAATTGTCCCCTAAATCTCGAATTCTCCTTTTTTAAATTTGTTTTAATTGACTAAAATACCTTTATAATGAATTTAGATGGTGTTTTTGTGTTATCTTTAATTTAATAATATTATTAATCATTTACTTAAAATAGCTAAAATGATTGGTCCACAATCAACCATACATGCACAAAATACTTATCAAAAACACAACCTAACCATATATATATATATATATATATAAATATATATATATATATATATATATAATATATATATATATATATATATATATATATGGGATGGTTCATGTAAGAACAAGAGTTATTGTGAGAACGCGAGAACGCCTATCAGCCATTAGATAAAAATAGTAGATGGTTTTGATTTCTCTTATAATTTAGGTAACTTCTTAATTAAAAATAATTAAAAATACAATTTTTATAAGAATAAGGGTAAAGTCGTACAAGAACAAAAATATGAATATGGAAATATTATTAGTTTCCTATTTTTAAGGTATTTTAATGAAATTTTCAAATTCGAAATTTATGATCAAAAACGAAATTGAAAAAAATATAAATTTTAAAATTTTGATATAATTTAAATTTTCAAATATAAAAATCATTATTAAAAAATCTGATATTTTTTATTTTAGAATTTAAAAAATTTAAAATTCTGATATGAATATTAAACTTGTGCAAAATTTGTATTTGAATATGAAACTTGTAATATGAATATTAAATTTACAATAGACACAAATAAAGTTTTTATTGTTAAAAACTTAAATATGCATGATAGAATATGACCATATACAATTTTAATAAAGAAAAACATGAATATGTATAACAGAATATACAAACATACAAATTTTATTGAGAAGAACATAAATATTCAGTACCGAATAGACACATACATGCAATTTTCATGGAGAAAAACATAAATACTGATGACAAACATACACACATACAACATACACACATACAATATTCATAACAGAATATGTACAGATATACAATATTCATGACAAAACATATACATATAGTCTATCCGATGCTTATCCATACAAGGAAAAAAAATCATATTCTTCTATGAATATACAAAAGGTGGTGTCTTGCTCTTGTATTAAGATCAACAATAACGTTGGATGTATGGTGGTGGTGGTGGCGGCGATGCAGTAGTTCGATGAAAGGGTTTGTTGTTGGATCATTATTCACTCTAGTAGTTAAAAAGCCATCAACTGTCAAACAAGAATCATTTTAACATAAATTAATCATGAGTCAAGTTTATCAAATAAATTCATAACAAAATAAACACATATCTATTAATATGTATGTACCGATAGGTTGTAGTGACAAAAATTCTTAATAGAATAACAATATGACAACAAGCTTTTTAAATAACATTGTTTTATCTAAAATATGTTTCCATTCAAAATACAGAAAAAAAAAGGAAAACAAAGAGAGGGTGAGTATAACCAAAACATTCCTAATGTACGTACAGAAAAAAGTTAACATAAAATGCACCATATTTACTCAGGCAATAAATCAAACACTTGGTGGTCATTAAAAAAGATTCAGTTAATCAGGAAATGAAAGCAATACTCTTACCGTTCGTTGAGAAAGAGAATCGTCTTCAATTGTGTACAAAGAAAACGATAAACATATCACATGAATTAAAGCCAATCACCAAAAAGATAAAAAAAAAAACATGCTTTCTCTAAAATAATCTAAAAACTATTAGAGTACATATATAATGAAATCCACATCATAATTTGCAAATTAGACACTCATATATTTGTATGGAAAAAAACGATCACACATGGATTACATTAAAAGTGAAATCATATTTTCTATAAAAATATTAAAACTCAATAGGACTGGATGTTTTTTCGAGGTTCTCCATCACCACTGAATCATCATTTCATTTTGGGTTCATTAATGTACTTAAGTAATTGTAATCAAGGTTGGAAATTAGAGCGAGAGAGGGAGATGATAGACATGGAATTGGTAATAAGGAGATAAGATATGATATAACTGTTATTTTTTCTAACCTTGTCATCTTCACCGCCTAAAGAAAGTGAAAATCGCAACCCTTGGACTTATGAACATCATCTGGAGTCGGAGCCGTGAAATCGGTAATCAACAACCACCGTTCCTCTCGATTCTGATTTCAAGACGGTATAAGTGGAAGTAAATAGTTTGCATCGTTACAGATAAATATAAACTATTTCCACCGGTGGCGAGGGAGAAGGAGAAGAAGACGGTGGATGGGTGTGATATGGCTGGCAGCTGAAAAAAGAGAGTATAAGGTTTTAAATAATCGAAAATTAAAATTGTTTCCTTAATAATAGGAATCGAAATTAATGCTTATATTTAATGCAAGGTTAAAATACCACAAGTGCCCTTTTATTTTTTTTATTTTTATAAAATTAATTATATAAAACGATTAGTTGAGAATTGTTCTCACGTTCTCACAATAATTGTTGTTTTTTATATGAACCTACTTCTATATATATATATATATATATATATATATATATATATATATATATATATATATATATAGAGAGAGAGAGAGAGAGAGAGTCGGGTTCTTTTGAGAACCAAAAGATTTGTGAGAACTTGCAACACTTACTATTTAAAGAAATAAGATTGCACATACGACTTCAATTTTTTACCCTTCGAACTGAAAGTTGCAGCCAAGGCCACAAGCTCAAGAATGGCATACAATATATTTAAAAATCTGCAAAACAGAAAAATGAAGATATGAGTTGATTTTCTGATTTATTCATAATCAGAAAATAGAAGTCACAAACAATATCTACGCTAACGACTATTGCAGTTGATCCAAATCGATAAATAGGACTAAGATAGCCTACTATAATTAAAAAAGTATTTTTTTGTAAGATAGTACAAAGAGAGGGCACTATGAACACATTATAACTTAACTTTTGAACTGTATTTATATTAATCTAATTTAGAGTCAGGCCATTGTAGATTGCAGTTTGCGTCAAAAAGAATCTCAATTGAAATCCCCAAATTTAGAGCTCATTGATTGCATCTTATCCTTAGACTACATTGTAAGAAAACAAACTAGTTTTCTTTTGGGGTGCAAGGAACACGGAAACAAAAGAAGAATGTAGTGGAAGAAAACTTGCTCTTAAAGTTAAAACAAAGAAAGAACTAGTAATTGCATTAAAACAAATGACGCCTACTTTTATACTAATTAATTAGATAGCTTATGAACCTCTAAAACCATAAAAAAAAAAAAAGACTTCGACTCTTATTCTAAAACTAGGAAACAAAACCAATAAAAAAGAAACTTTCCTATTACTTTTCAAATAACCGATTAACCCAACAATCACCCCCTTAATCGGTTTGGTCATACGAGCCACTCGTTCAAAACAATGTCGGTTCCTCTTCGATTAGACCCGCTTCTTCCTTTTCCCATTTAGGACACTCGTTTTTATAGTGACCAAGCTCACCATATTTGTAACATCTAACGTGACTTTTATCCCGGACACGTTCATTACTATCTCGACTTCTCCCGGACCCCCGACCTCTTCCCCGGCCACGTCCAAAGTCATCCCGATTTGAACGTCCATTGCCACAATGCTTACAAACATGTGACTTTTCGTCACTAGCCAACAACAACCCACCTTGAGTGTCCTCCACTTTCTCGGTTCCTCTTATACGCTCCTCGTACGCCTTCAATCTACCAACCGCTTCATCGAATAACATTGAATCCAACTCGAAACATTGCTCTATTGAAGCCACGATTTGAAGAAACGACTTAGGCATCGAATCTAGTAACTTTTTTTACCAAATCACCTTCTTCAAGCTCATATCCAGGAGGGACCTCCCCTTTCCATAAAATGTCCATGAGATGAAGACATACAAGTTGGTAAAAGCGAGGGTGATGAGGAAGTCACAAATGAATTGTGGGAATGGTTCTATATTGGTGGGGCCACTGGTTTTGCTACTGGATTTTGGATAGCATGCGACGCTCTACTTCTCAACCGTCATGGCAGACGTGCATTTTTTCACTTTTATGATAGCTTTAGAGATTGGGTTTATTTGGAGGTGGTGGTGTTCATTGCAAAATTGCGGAGGATTGCACGTATGTAGTTGTCTATATTTAACTCTTCTTTCCTGTTTTGTATGTTACTTTATAAACCTATTAGTGTTCTTAGTTAGGACTAAAGGTATAGCAATGTAAGACCATGTTTCACTTGTAATTGGCAGGGTTTTAAGTCTTCATTATCGATAAAAATGCCACAAACATCATGGGTGGCAATTTCCCGTTGTGTGGAATGAGACATTTTGAAAAGTTCATTATTTCCGTTTGTATTTATTATTTTCTTAATTTATTCGATCTTTTAATTAACCAATTCTCAATGTGGGTTATTTGCAAAATTAGCACTTGAAAGATGATCAGGCATCTTCTTAGGTTATTTACAACAAAATTAGAGAAGTCCTTTGACACATTATGTATGTTGGGTTAATCGGTTATTTGAAAAGCAATATGAAAGTTTCTTTTTTATTAGTTTTGTTTCCTAGTTTTAGAATAAGAGTCGAAGTCTTTTTTTTATGGTTTTAGAGGTTCATAAGCTATCTAATTAATTAGTATAAAAGTAGGCGTCATTTGTTTTAATGCAATTACTAGTTCTTTCTTTGTTTTAACTTTAAGAGCAAGTTTTCTTCCACTACATTCTTCTTCTGTTTCCGTGTTCCTTGCACCACAAAAGAAAACTAGTTTATTTTCTTACACTTGGTATCAGAGCGCGGTTTCGTTGAAGGGGGTGTGATTCGAGGTTGATTAGAAACAACCCCGATTTCTTTTAATCGGGCTTGTGAGAGACTAACCGGAGGCGCGGAGTAAACGAACGGGAAGATGTCAAAGTGGGTGGCTTTGATTCGGTTCGTTTTGCGGGTGACGGAAGACGGTAAAGGTGGTCGTGACCTTGTCTTGTTGTCCGGTGGAAGAGTGCTCTCGGAACAAGCTTGATTAAAGAAGTCGGGGTTAAGGAGAAAAGGATGTCGTTGGTTAAAGAAGGAGGTTCGTTGACATATCAAGTTCCGGTTTTGACTCCAACGAATTATCCGGTGTGGGCGGTTAAAGTCAAGTCAATTGAAGGAGAGCATCTCTCTCCTTATGCAAACACTTGTTCGTGATAACACTATTATCGTCTCTTTCTTCCACTGCTACCAATTGGTTGGCAGTTGTATTCTGAAGGCATACAAAGAGAAGTGAGAAAATTATAAAAACACAGGGATGCATGATGTAAATGCAGATGTTGGTGATATTTCTTTGTGTTGATGTATATATGAAGATGCCCCTATGAAGTTTTATATAGTTCCCACTGCAAAGACGAATTATTACAGTGGATGGCCTATTGGCCTCAAATTAGTGACCTATTTGTGTGGGGTATACAATCCAGATACCCACTGTTACTTTAATGAGTGAAGATGTTTATATCCATTCATTTGTTGCTAAATGAATATTATCGGAAACAATGAGATCTATTAGAATTATACAATGGAAAATAAAATATGAGAGAAAAATCAAACTAAGAGTCTCACATAGAACCAATTAACCAATGTACACAGGTTAATTAACTTAATGAATTTTGGAAAATGGACTATGTTTGAGAAAGAGGCTACTGGATCTTGGAGACGAAGTTTGATATCCTCAATAGTTTGTTTGAATTGGGGTTTTATTGCTGATTTCTCTTATCCCTGCTAGTGCTTCACAAATTACAATCACCTCCTGAATTCATCGTTTTTCAGTGTAGTTTTCATCTCCCAATCCAAACCAGCAAACAATAAGAGGCCGGAGCCGCAAAATAAACTAAACATATTAAAAGCATACAATAATAATAATAATAATAATACTTTTGTTATATAAAAATTTAAAGTTATAGTAAAATTAAAGAATGTTATTTACGTGAATAAAGTTGGATTACGGGTTATGTTGAAATTATCCATTCCATTCCATAAGTCAAAACAAACAATTTTTTTTTTTTTTTTTCGTTCCTATGGAATGAACCATTCCGTACGTTAGATTTCTTCATTACCAAACATAAGTTATATCTTAACCGTTAGTCAAAGTACTCTTAAGATGTTTGTTTATACATATGATGTTATACAATTATCCAAAAAAGGATGTAGCTTTTAGGGATTCAGACTACTTTTAAACTGAGTGGAATCTAATTTCAGTGGTTTGAGTTTGACAATGAGAATCAGGGAATGATTGTTGGATTAATGCCAGTCAAATCCACACAGAGTGGCGGACCCCATCCCCTCCCACACACATTAAAACTTAAAACCCACTGTCCCACCACTGACTCCCACCCACATCTGTTTGTCAAAAGAAAACTGCTTACATTACTTAATGCAAGAATCAACAAGGCACTTTCATTCATTTGTGCCTATTACACAATCATACTTCAAATAATCTACCTCAAATACAAAGTATTTTCCACTGATATAAATTGGTAGATTTTTCAAAATACAATGTCCTAGTAAGAAAAAAATTGAAAATACAATGCCTTAATAAGAAAAAAAAAAGTAAAAGTAGAATGCTATAATAGAAAGAAAAAGAAAGTAAGTTGCTATTTCTTGCATTTAGCGATAAAATATTTCATAAATGTTGTCAAAATTTCTTTTTTACAGATGTGACACTTACAGTGATTATAAAGTGGCAGTGGTTTCTTGTTTCTAATGTTTTGTTTGCTTTGGCTTTGATTCACCTCCCAGAACCACTAAATCCTTTGGAGCAGGTGGTTTTCCAAGCAACCCTTGTCATCATTAAAACACCTAAATTTAAATTATCTAAAAAGGGCTTTTGTTGTTAGCTAACGTTTACAATAAATGGAACAAAGAATAATGAAATTAAAGAAAGAAAAGAAATGAATTGATAACATACCTCCAAATGCTTTTCTGCTTTTTATTGAATCTTGTTTCTGTGATTCCTCTGTCACAAGAGTGATAGTCTACATTGAATCTGGGATTCTTCTGGATTTAAAGAGATAGTATCTCCGTTCTTAATGGGCTTGAAATTTTCAAGAACATCAAGGATACAATTCAACTCTGATCCTTCAGTTTCTTTTTGTCAATATTCATGTCTCTTGCCAAGTTGCTATCAGTGTACCTGGTGATAACACTTTCTCTATTACCCTTTCCATATACCAAAACATAGTCTATGGTCCCTTTCACATACCTCAAGATGTGTTCACGGATTTCATATGTTGAACTATGGGTCTTTCAATGAATCTACTTACCAGCTCAACTCGGGTCGGGTCGGGTCGGTATGGGTATGGGTCAGATAGTGTAGCGCACCATCCACGCTCCTATACTATGTAGAGCTAACTTGTACTCCACCCTCATTCTTGGTTAGTTCCAATTTAGGTTCCATTGAGTACTTACAGGGATTGCACTCCTCCATGCTAGAATTGGCTAGTATTCTCTAATTGGCATATGTTGCTTCCTTCAGAGTGATTGTTCCTTCATGCTGATGCAAACCAAACTGATGTGGTATGACTTCGTCCACACTCCACAACTAATCACATGGTTTTTAGTCTTACATTTGTACAGCTTTAAAAATAATTAGTTTCATATAACATATAAGTAGGTTATAGCCCAAGGAAACCACAATTGGTTTTATAATTAGTTTTTTTTACTAGAAACCCATAATTATTAATCAATTATTTTAAATAAATTATTATTTAAAAGATTTATGCTTTTTAATATATGTGAAATTTTAATCGTTGATTAAAATTAGTATGTGAAATTATTTTTTCAAGATATATGAAACAACTTTTATTTGTGAATTAATGAAAAAGAAACGATATTGTATAATTAAATGTTAAACTAATTATAAAAATAAAGTACCGACGATAAGTGAAGTAATTAAAATCTGAGTTTCCGAAAACTATCATATTTGAGTCTAACGGGATGTGAGCTGTCACAGGTGATGTATCCATATTCTTCATTTCTCAACTCTTCTTCATCTATTGAATTCCTTTCTCTCAAAAACTACAATCTCACCTCATCCATGTATCGTTGGTTGTTTCCCTTAACAAGCAATAAGCTTCGTTTTCTTTCTCTCTTTGGCAACATGTTAGATGGGATACCCAAATATCTTGGTAACCCCTGTAGTTTGGAAAGTTTGGACTTCTATAATAACTCTTTTGTTGTGAAATTTCCTGATTTTCTCAACAACTTGTCTGGATGCACATCGCTTACATTACGATTGTTTTATGCTCCAAAAAGCCAATTTACGGGGTCATTTTCTGATGTCATCCAAAAGTTTTCATCCCTAAAATATTTGGACCTATCTTACAATCATCTAAATGGAACTATAAGTGAGAAATTGTGGGAGCTACCCAGGCTTGAACATCTTGATGTTTCTTTCAATTTTCTTGGAGGTGCTATCTCTAAAAACATTGAAAAGACGAAGGCTATTTTTATAGATCCTTCCAGAAACTCACTCCAAGGAGTTCCTTCTACACATCACTTGTCTAGCCTTTTTGATGTTATCTATCTGGATCTGAGCATTTGTAAGCTAGGGCCTCGCTTCCCCAAATGGATTCAAACAATGAAAAATCTTACCTATCTCAGTATTGCTGACAGTAGAATTTCTGACACAATTCCAGTGGAGTTTTGGTGTTTGTGGCCTTCATGATCAGGATATCTTAATCTCTCTTCCAACAACCTCATTGGGAAAGTACCAAATTTAGTATCAAACTTTGATGAAAATTCCGTGATAGATTTGAGCTCCAACAGCTTTTATGGTCCAATACCAAATGTCAGTTCCACTTTGGCATCATTAAATCTTTCCAGAAATAAATTCTGTGGAGGAATCTCCTTTTTATGCCAAATTGTTGATGGGTTTTTAGAATTTCTTGACCTCTCTGATAATTTTCTAACCGGACAACTCCTAGACTGTTTGCGGCATTTCAAACAACTGAAGGTTCGTAATCTAGGACACAACAACCTATTTGGAAGGATTCCTGCCTCTATCGGATCTTTGATCAAACTCGAGACCTTGTATTTATACAAGAACGACTTCTCTGGAGAATTTCTTGTGACTTTAAAGAAGTGCTCAAGTTTAAACTCGTTAAATTTGGGGGCCAACAACTTTTCGGGTACAGTGCCTGTTTGGGTTGGGGAAAACTTGTCAGGGTTGTATATTCTTATTCTAAGATCAAACCGCTTTTCCAGAGACATTCCTTTACAATTATGTCAATTAACAAATCTTCAAATTTTAGACTTGTCAAGGAACAATCTCCATGGAACCATCCCCTCTTGTTTGAATAATCTAACAAGCATGGTGCAAAACGGATTCTCCCCGCCACCGGATGTACATCCCTTTTCAATTGAATATGTACATTCAGATCGTTTTGTGTCACCTATTATTGATGAGGAATATGTTGACCATGCGATGATCGAGTGGCAAGGAAAAGTGCGTGAATTCATTAGAAATTTGGGATTGTTGAAGAGCATTGACCTGTCAAGCAATAATTTAACAGGACAAATCCCAAATGAACTTACCAATCTTTATGAACCGGTTGCCATGAACTTGTCAAATAACGCTCTACATGGAGAAATTCCACAAAAAATTGGTCAGATGAAAAAACTTCTAATTCTGGATTTATCTAGAAACAAGTTTTCAGGGCAATTACCATCAAGCAGGTCTCAAATGACTTCGTTGAATTACCTAGACGTCTCAGATAATAGTTTGTCAAGGAGAATCTCATCTAGCATACAACTCCAGTCCTTTGAACATTCAAGATACGATGGAAATTTATAGCTATGTGGACCTCCCCTTACCAAAAAATGTCTGGGGAATGAAGAAACGGAATCAACATCGGTGGTTGGTAAAAGTAAGAGTGATGGAGAAGACATATATGAACTTGAGCGATGGTTCTATATTTGTGGTGCAACTGGTTTTGCTATTGGATTTTGGATAGCATGCGGCACTTTACTTTTCAATCGTCGTGTGAGACATGCTCTTTTTTTGTTCCTTGATAGCTTCAAAGATTGGGTTTATGTAAGGGTGGTTGTGTTCATTGCAAATTGGCAAAGGATTGCCCATGCATAGTTGTGTGTATGTATTTTATAAACTACTTGTTTTCTGGTATGTATTTCTTTTGAACATAACTATTATTATTGTTACTTTGGGCTAGGGATATAGTAACGAAAGACCATGTTGTTTCACTTGTATTTGGCAGGGGAGTTTAAGTTCCCATATTCATTTAATTTGGCACCAACACCATATGTGGCTCTGTTTTAATGATGTATGTTTTCTATGACAATTCGTGAAAAGTTTATATTTTCAAGTGTAGTTAGTGTTCATCTTTTAATGAACTACTTATATAAGACAATTGTCAATGTAGATTATTTGCTAAAGGGATCGCCATCCATCTCCAGCTTGTGCATTCGATTATATATATATATATATATATATATATATATATATATATATATATATATATATATATACATAGGGCTAGGTTATAATGTGGATGGACAACTATTGTGTGGACGTGTGGATAATGCTATTTTATGAAAATTACTAAGAGAATATGTTGTTTAGTAATGTGAATACATTCAATCTCACAGAACTATTGTTATTTTAATGCATTCTCATCAATTCTAATTCATTTTTGTTCTTTTTCATCATTTTTATTTATTTTAATTCTTACAGAATACGACTCAATAAACATCCTGATAGCATTCTGACAGAATGAGAATAATTAAAAAAAAAGTGTATAATAACCTTATAGACGATTTAATTAGTGAAAATGCTTAAAAATTAAAATAATTATATAAGATTGAACGTATTCATATTATCAAACAACATATAATTTCTTTTTAATTCTCACAGAATAGCATTATCCACACGTCCACACAATAGATGTCGATCCACATTTGAACCTAGCTATATATATATATATATATATATATATATATATATATATATCTATATATATATATATATATATATATATATATATGATCAAATGCATAAGCTGGAGATGGATGGCGATCCCTTTAGCAAATAATCTATATTGACAATTGTCTTACAAATTACTCCCGCGATGGGTAAAAAACATACGTCCTCGCAAAGCAAGGAGCGGATAATTTCTAGGTTAATAATAAAACACAAATATATATATATATATATATATATATATATATATATATATATATATATAGATATATATATATATATTTGTGTTTTATTATTAACCTAGAAATTATCCGCTCCTTGCTTTGCGAGGACGTATGTTTTTTACCCATCGCGGGAGTAATTTGTAAGTTTTTTTATTACGTAGGGACCCTTTTTATAATTTTTTAAAATACATGGATCGTTTCTATAAAATAAATGTGCAAAGGGACCTTTTCTGTAAATTATGGGATAATTTTTGTAATTTATTTTGTACACAGGGACCAAACCTATCAAATATGGCAGAATACAAAACTTAATGGGTGGAAATTGTCTCTATTCAAATTTGGAGGGGTAATTTGACATTTTACAAAGTAAAGGGGGTTAAAAGGGCTATTCTACAAAGTAAGAGGGTGGAAACTTCCATTCTACAAATTAACAGGTGGAAATTGCCGACATACGAAATTCTAAGGACCAAATATGTCAATATGAGAAAGTTTTGTGGCCAAAGTTTAAAATAAAAAAAATTATGGCCAAAATAAGAAACCATTTCTTTTGTTAAGGTGACTGGTGGAGAAAATGTAAAAAGAATGATTTTTATTTTTTATTAAATAAATTGATCAAACTAATAATAAAATAATAATATCTAAATATCATCCGGGCATAAAATAAAATATAATGTTAGTTAATATACGGATCAAATATAAAAAACACGTGAAAGAAAATTAAAAAGTTAGGGGATACTCGATAATAAGTGTTTGTAATGATCTTTATGGAAAGTCTTATTTTCCAATGGTAAAAAGCTTTTCAAAAGTCTTTTCAAATAGAAAAAAGCTTTCTAAAAAACTACCATTTGAGATGACATAACATTGTGAACAGTTTTTTTTTTCTTTATGAAATTAAATGAATGGTCTCTACACGTGTCAAAACGTGTCAGGTTTGGTCCTTATGAGGAATTTCTTACAAAGATGGTCCCTAAGTTTGAAAATCTTTGCAAAACGGTCTTTATGGCTAACTTTGCTAAAAGTAAAGGTTAATTTTTTGTACATCAACTTCATGGCACATGGCCATATCAGAAACGTAATTCCATCATCTTAACTTGTATGTCTTATATTTTAGATAAAAAGAGATTAATTTGTAAGTGTTCCACCCTCTTTTAATATTTTGATTCCCTGCTAGTACTATAAGACTGCTAGTAATATAAGACTGTTATTTAAAATCTTTATTTCTAACAAAACTGTAAACCATTAATTGAACTCATTTAAACTCCCATAGCAATTGCAATAATCATGGCGTTTGGCATAAAACGTGCCACTAGTTTCATGTATGGGTGCTGTATTGGATTCCATTAGTTTGTGTTTTGGGATTTAGAGTTCCGTCCACAAAATAGTCATGCCCCCTTCAATGGCAGGCAGGTTGATGAGGAGTTCACAAACTTGGTCCATTAACAAAATAAAATTAACAATTTTATATTCATGTTTATTTTAGTTAGATAAAAGATTTCAGTTATAATGTTTGTTTGTTTGTTTGTTTTTTTGTATCATTATCATTTAAATGCATTACAGTAACCTATTATAAATATATAACATATCTTTAACAAATTAAATCACTAAAAATTCAAAATGATACCAATATTGAATATTATTCATATTTATTTTATGTTTTTTAAAAAAAATTTGTAAGATTTAAAATAAAAAAGATTATTTATAAATTTGAAATGGGGTGACCAACAGCATAAAACAAAAATATTAAAAATCTTTAATTTACATATCCTTTATTTGCATAATAGTTTGTTTTTACACAACTTGTTTCCTTAGTAACTATTTTATAACTGTATTATTTTTGTGTTAAACTTAATTTTATTAGAAACTATTGCAAAAAATATGTATTATATTTTTGACAAATTATAGCATTAATTAGATCTTTTCTGTACCTTGAAAATTACACCAACACTGAATGTTACTAACATTTACTTTCTTCTTAATATTTTATATTGAGGCAGATACTCTTAGAAATGGAACGAATTTTGAGTTCATTTCTCAAATTTCAATAATTTGACAGCATGATATTTTATCTTATTATTTCAATAATGATGCGAGGAAATAAAGTATTGTCCAACAAACAGGACTCTTATTTGAAGCCATCCTATATAAACCCTCTTGCATGGATTTCATATATATGCATCAACACAAACAAAAAATCTTCAATTGACTGCATCTAAATTATGCATCCTTTTGTTTTAATATCTTTCTCACTTCTCTTGTTGCTATGCCTCGAGACTACAACAAGCAACCAACTGGTAAGAGACGATGATGTTGTTATGATTGTGATGAACAAATGTTTGGATAAGGAGAGACATGCTCTCCTTCATTTCAAATCCCGCCTTCAAGTCCCCTTTGATACTCTCTCTACATGGACAGCTGCAGATGATGAATGCTGTACATGGGAAGGAGTCACGTGCAACAATCAAACAGGTCGTGTCACACAACTTGATATCAGCCGCTATAATATTGGAGGTGAGATTAGCCATTCCTTGCTTAACTTAAGCTATTTGAATTATCTTGATCTCTCCTACAACCCTTTTAATTGCTCCATTCCCATTTTCATTGGTTTCATGACCGAATTAAGGTACCTTGACCTTTCCTACAACTCCTTTTTTGGAACCATTCCTCCAGAGTTTGGGAACCTCACCAACTTGCAATGGCTTTACCTTGGAGATGTTGGAAGCTGTAGAGTTGAAAACATAGAGTGGTTGTCTCATCTCTCTCATTTGGAGGCACTTGTTTTGGATGGGATTTCCCTAGCCAAACAAAATTATTGGACGGATGTTATTTTCAGTCTCCAGAAACTATCAGATTTAAGTTTACGGGGTTGTGAGTTGTCACAGGTCATGTATCCATATTCTTCATTTTTCAACTCTTCTACATCTATCCATATCCTTCTTCTCGGAAACAACAGTCTCAACTCCTCCATGTATCATTGGCTGTTCCCATTAATCAGTAATAAGCTTCGTTTTCTTGATCTGTCTAGCAACATGTTAGATGGGATACCCAAATATCTTGGTAACCTCTGTAGTTTGGAATATTTGAGCTTTGATAACAACTCTGTTGTTGTCAAATTTCCTGATTTTCTTAACAACTTGTCTGGATGCACATCGCTTACATTACAACAGTTGGATGCTTCAGGAAGCCAATTTATTGGATCACTGTCTGATGAGATCCACAAGTTTTCATCCCTAACAGATCTAGACCTATCTAAGAATCAATTAAGTGGAACTATAAGTGAGAAATTGTGGGAACTACCCAGGCTTGAAGTTCTTGACGTTTCTTTCAATTCGCTTAGAGGTTCCATCTCTGAAAACATCGGAAAGTCTAAGCTTTTATCTATAGATCTTTCCAGAAACTCACTCCAAGGAGTCCCTTCCTTGGATCATGATCACATATCAAACCTTTCCTATCTAGAGAATATTGACCTAAGTTATTGCAAGCTAGGGCCTCGCTTCCCAAAATGGATTCAAACACTGAAAAATCTTACCTATCTTGATATTTCCAATACTAAAATTTCAGACACAATCCCAGTGGAATTTTGAGACACATGGCCTTATCGATTAGGATATCTTAATCTCTCTTCCAACAACATCACTGGGAATGTACCAGATTTAGTATCAAACTTTGACGACAATTCAATGCTAGTTTTGAGTTCCAACAGCTTTTCTGGTCCAATATCAAATGTCTCATCCACTATAGCATCACTAAATCTTTCCAGAAACAAATTCTATGGGGAAATCTCCTTTTTGTGCCAAATTGTTGATGGGTTTTTAGAATTTCTTGACCTCTCCCATAATTTTCTAACCGGACAACTCCCAGACTGTTTGTGGCACTTCAAACAACTAAAAGTTCTAAATCTAGGACACAACAACCTATCTGGAAAGCTTCCTGCCTCTATGGGATCTTTGATCAAACTCGAGGTCTTGTATTTATACAAGAACGACTTCTCTGGAGAATTGCATGTGACTTTAAGGAAGTGCTCAAGTTTAAGCTCGTTAAATTTGGGGGCCAACAATTTTTCTGGTAAAGTGCCGGTTTGGATTGGGGAAAACTTGTCAGGGTTGTATGTTCTTATTCTAAAATCAAACCACTTTTTGGGAGACATTCCTTTACAATTATGTCAATTAGCAAATCTTCAAATATTAGACTTTTCAAGGAACAATCTCCATGGAACGATCCCCTCATGTTTGAATAATCTAACAAGCATGGTTCAACATGTATTCTTAACTGTTAGGAACCGGACCGGGTACACGCAGCGGAAACACACTATCACAAACACACAAACTCACGAAAATAAAGCAAGAAGAACACAAGGATTTTACGTGGTTCGGATTCGGTGCAAATCCTACATCCACGGGCTGCAACTAGAGAATTTTATTAAAACTCACAAGATTACAATTGGCTTGACACTCTACACTTGATGTTCTCTCAAGTTTTTGCACACAAAATATGCAAAACATACATGCATATATATAGGTGAGAGAGCCGCAATTTGCACATGAAATTGAGTCGTCGTAACAATAGTACTCAAATGTGAAAGCCGCAAATGTTGAGTCGTCGTAACAATAGTACTCAAATGTGAAAGCCGCAAATGTTGACGTTGAATTTCCTTCCATTCACATTAGCCGTCCAACAATTGAATTTGATTCTTTTATTTCACATGCATAGCCACATGTTTTCAACCTTTCATATTTTACCTAACAATCTCCCACTTGAAAGTTTGAACAACATGGTCCGTCTCTGTCATCCAACTCCAGTAATCTTAAAACAACCAAGTCTTCCAAGCCTCCAGTTCCTAAGAACAAGCTAAACTTAGTCCCATTTCTCTAATTGCAGCCGCCCCTCATCTTCAAGTACTAGAAGGGACAGTTGAAGCTCCCACTAGCTCCAACTCAGTCGTGGCTAATCCCACCACCGACTCATCCTCTGTCTCAACCGGTTTGGACACTCCACCAGATCCAGAGATACACCGAGGACCACTAACACTCTCCCAACTTTGCAAACTTTCAACAGGAGAGACTTTTTCAGTCTTAGTCTTCAAAACCCAACGGCTCTTTGTAACTGTACCCGAAACACACCCCGTGCTCCCACTGTCACAGAATCCCCTCAATGGTTTAGAATTTCTGACTCGTTCAGCTAACATCCCCTTGGCTCCAGAATTCATGTTTGCAAAATGAACTCTCTTAGCCGTAGATTTAGCGAACCAGATTTTGTCTTGCTTAACAGGGACGGTCATACTCCCCTCAGCAGATACCTCAACCATATACAATGACCCACATTTCATACCATGAGAAATCACTAGATTATCATTGATCACCCTCCATTTACCACCACCAAACCTTACTTCCAGTCCTTATTTATCCAGCTGACCAATAGAAATCAATTTCTTTTTCAGCTCCGGAATAACCCTGACATTCTTCAGGCTCCATGTAGTTCCCAATGAAGTAACTAGATCAATATCTCCTATGCCCGTTACTTGAAGCATCTCGTCATTTGCTAACCTTACCTTTCCTAAATCTCCTTCTTTTAGATTCACCATCGTTTCCCCGTTGTCCATGGCGTGAAACGAAGCCCCTGAATCCATGACCCAAGAGTCCACAGAACTTTCCATATTGAGTATCAGTGCATCATCCTCAGACACACTCTCAGCACCGGCAATGTTCAATTCTTTCTTTGGACATTGACTCTTAACATGTCCCACCTCTTGGCAGTTCCAGCATTTCACATTCTTCAAAGTTCTAGAAGAACTTTTTCCCCGACTCCCACTGCTTCCACTATTCCTGCTATTCCCTCTACCTCTTCCGACATTTAATAAATCAGAAGAGGAAGATCCACCTTGATTCTTGCGTCTGATATCCTCGCCTAGAACCAAATCTCTAACCCCTTCAAAAGTCATACCACTGGTCCCCACGGAACTCGTAACAGCAGTAACTGTTCCGGACCAGCTATCAGGTAGAGAAGCTAGTAGCAGTGATGCTTGAGTCTCGTTATCAAATTTAATTCCCACAGATGATAATCTGGACAGAATTGAATTTAGATTGTTAATGTGAACCGTAACTGAGCCTTCCTCATTCATCCTTGTAGTGAACAACTCCTTCATCAAGAACACCTTGTTAGCCGCCGATGGTTTCTCATACATATTTGACAGAGCCTCCATCATACCACGTGCCGTGGTTTCATTCATGATGTTGAAAGCAACGCTCTTCGTCAACGACAATGTAATAACCGCCTTGGCTTTCTTGTCCTTTGAGTTCCACGCATCTTCAAAAGCTTTTCCATTTTCTCCGGTTTGTCTCCGAGTACCATGTCCAAGTCTTTCTGACATAGCAATGCTTCTAATTGCATTTTCCACCAGCTAAAATCAGAACCGTTGAACTTTTCGATTACAACCTTGTCTTCAGCCATTACGACAAACAAGATACAAATCAGGTACACTTGTGCGTGATAAAAAAAATGATCGTACCCTCCAAACCTCGCTAACCTGGCTCTGATACCAGTTGTTAGGAACCGGACCGGGTACACGCAGCGGAAACACACTATCACACACACACAAACTCACGAAAATAAAGCAAGAAGAACATAAGGATTTTACGTGGTTCGGATTCGGTGCAATTCCTACATCCACGGGCTGCAACTAGAGAATTTTATTAAAACTCACAAGATTACAATTGGCTTGACACTCTACACTTGATGTTCTCTCAAGTTTTTGCACACAAAATATGCAAAACATACATGCATATATATAGGTGAGAGAGCCGCAATTTGCACATGAAATTGAGTCGTCGTAACAATAGTACTCAAATGTGAAAGCCGCAAATGTTGAGTCGTCGTAACAATAGTACTCAAATGTGAAAGCCGCAAATGTTGACGTTGAATTTCCTTCCATTCACATTAGCCGTCCAACAATTGAATTTGATTCTTTTATTTCACATGCATAGCCACATGTTTTCAAGCTTTCATATTTTACCTAACATTAACTACATCAGATGTACATCCCTTTTTAATTAAATATGTACATTCAGACCGTTTTGTGTCACGTATTATTGATAAGGAATATGTTGATCATGCGATGATCGAGTGGCAACGAAAATAGCGTGAATTCATCAGAAATTTGGGATTGTTGAAGAGCATTGACCTGTCAAGCAATAATTTAACAGGACAAATCCCAAATGAACTTACCAATCTTTGTGAACTGGTTGCCCTGAACTTGTCAAATAACGCTCTACTTGGAGAAATTCCACAGAAAATTGGTCAGATGAAAAAACTTCTAACTCTCGATTTATGTAGAAACAAGTTTTCAGGGCAAATACCATCAAACATGTCTCAAATGACTTCGTTGAATTACCTAGACATCTCAGATAATAGTTTATCGGCGAGAATCCCATCTAGCACACAAATCCAGTCCTTTGAACAGTCCTTTGAACATTCAAGATACGATGGAAATTTAAAGCTATGTGGACCTCCCCTTACCAAAAAATGTCCAGGGGATGAAGAAACGGAATCAACATCGGTGGTTGGTAAAAGTGAGAGTGATGGGGAAGACATATATGAACTTGAGCGATGGTTCTTTATTGGTGGTGCAACTGGTTTTGCTACTGGATTTTGGATAGCATGTGGCACTTTACTTCTCAATTGTCGTGTGAGACATGCTCTTTTTTTGTTCCTTGATTGCTTCAAAGATTGGGTTTATGTAAGGGTAGTTGTGTTCATTGCAATGTTGCAAAGGTTTGCCCATGCATAGTTGTCTATATGCATTTTTTAAACTTCTTGTTTTCCCGTATGTATTTGATTTGAACATACCTATTATTGTTGTTATTTTAGGCTAGGGGTATAGTAAGTTAGTAACGAAAGACCATGTTGTTTCACTTGTATTTGGGAGGGGAGTAAGTTCCCATATTCAATTAATTTGCCACCAGCACCATGTGTGGTTCTCTTTTAATGAAGTATGTTTTCCTTGACAATCCTTGAAAAGTTAATATTTTCAAGTGTAGTTAGTGTTGCATCTTTTAATGAACTATTTATATAGGACAATTGTCAACGTAGATTATTTGCTAAACGAGTGTTTGAATGATGATTAATCCATAATATTTGTTACTACCACACTTTCGTTTGTAGATTATTTCCAAAAAAAAATCCAAAACTGGGAAAATAGATCCAAGAATTAAGAACTTTCAATTCGTTCCACTTAATGAAATTATATCTCCGTAAAAGAAGGATTTTGATGCTATACATGTACAATACATGTATGTGTGCTTACAGTGGAGGATCCAGAACAAGTCAGGGGTTAGGGGTAGCAGACATGATTTTAGGGGTAACATGCCAGAAAAATTACACTATGCCGGAAAATTTCTCAAAAAATTTCCATTATGCCAAAGGGTTTAAGGTCCCAACATCTGCCCCTGTGTGCTTATGTGTTTTAGATTGCATTTGATCGGTGTACATTTCTACATTAGCTACACGACTAAATACAAGAAATAGCAATGTACTTTTCAATTATTTTATTATGGCATTATGTTTCTATTTATTTTTTATCCCAATATTTGGACTTGTAGATTATTTCTTTTTAAGACATTAGACTTTGAAAATTCTTGAGGCTGAATCACCTACATTTTGCCACTCAATGTTGCAAAAGTGGCTAGGCGCTAGTCATTCGGTCCATTGGGGACTACTAGTTGACTTAGCTAAAGTGTAAAGCAATTAATATTAGGAAACCTAAGTATTTGTAGAAAGAAGATTGAAACACAAGGGTGAATACATAGTAATACAAACATACAACGAAGAAGAACATGTCAGTGGAGATACAAATCTCTTTGCAATTTTCAGAACATCACCAGGGAATTTTCTTATTATATATCTGATTCTACTGTTGACTTGAGATTGTTAGTTGAACACTTCATCCAAGAACTAATTATATCGTCGATGTTATTTTTTTTCAATTGATATTACAATGTGGGTCAATCATTGTGGGATTTAGTTGAAATGGTAAATTGTAGACGTTAAGTTTGATTAATTTATTTACTTATGACTTCATTCCAGAAGGAACTTCATAATGGGATAGCAAAAAAAATGGTTACACTTCTAACTAAACCATTGTGCTTAAGCATTTAAACGTACAAGTGACACAGGGCTATGGGTTTGTATGTTTAAACTTTAAATGGAATTTGTATGTTCGAGATATAATTGGAATCCTAGTTGGCATTAGCTCACCACTTGCAATTATATAGGTACAAAATATCAGATATACGAGATGAATAAATGAACCTAATTTCAATTAAATCCCCCCCTATTAAAACTTAGTTTAAGCATTCAAAGTGTGTAGTTGTGTTCTTTCAGAACTTGTTCCTGTTCCTGTTCCATTTCCGTTTCTTAATTCTAGATTCCGTAAAGTTAATTTCAATTAATTAGAGTTTGCTGACTTTGCTCTAACACAAAAGCAAATTATTTAAATCAAGACAGTGGCCAATTTAAACTATGTAACAGACCAAATTCATTATATCATTGTTAAGAGCCCAGTAATTCAGCTCAATGAAGACGTCGCCATAGTCCAGCAAAGACCCAAAAGAAAACACCAGGAGACCAGCACGTGTGGAGGATTGAAGAAGTCTTCCACAGTCCGTTTTTCATGCATGCATATATATAGGAGTGGATTACAATCCCAGACCACCGCTAATCTCGTGAACCACATTACCACGCTCTCCGACCACCTATTGTTGGATGACAATGCCACTCCGTTACGTCATACAACCAACCACACACCACCCCCAACCCACCACCACCGCCACAGAATAACCACCATGCCCTTCGACCACCCAAAATCTCCTTGCCCCTATTTGATGGATACAATCCACTAGATTGGATTTTTCAGGCCGATAACTACTTCACGTTTTATCAAGTTCCACCCACCCAGCGTGTTCCTCTCACAGCGTTTTACCTTACAGGGGACGCCCTTTCATGGTATAAACACTTAGCTCAAAATGACCTCCTGGGATCCTGGACTCAATTCAAACGAGACCTAGAGCTCCGCTTTGGACCATCTTCTTACGAAAACCATGAAGCGGCACTTTTCAAGTTACAACAGACCTCCACCGTTACAGCGTATCAAACAGACTTTGAACGCATCAGCAATCGGGTCAACAGCCTCTCTCAACAAAGTTTAAAAAACTGTTTCATTTCGGGACTTCGCCAAGACATCCAAAATGAACTCACCATACTTAGGCCCGTTTCTCTACACCAGGCTTGCTCACTGGCGAAACTAATAGAAGAAGAACTTGGGCCTACAACCAAGTCACGACCCACCACAAGCTTCAAACCCATCTGGTCAACAACATCCCCAAATACACCTACCAAGCCAAATGTATCCCGTACCGTCTCTCCATCTTCACCAACTACCCATACCAACACGAAAACAAACCCTACACTACCACTTACTCGCCTATCAGTAGATGCACTACAGGAACGACGGAAAGCCGGACTCTGTTTCAAATGCCCAGAGAAGTACACTCCAGGCCATAAGTGTTCACCACCACAATTCCTTCTGATTGTAGACAACGACGACCAAGAAACCATGGATGAGGGAACCACCAGCAACACTCTTAAAGAACAACAACCACCCAAATTCTTGTCCCTATAAGACGCGGCCTTTTTTGGGCTATCATCGCCACCAACACTTCGTATCACAGGATATGTTGCCAACAAACCGGTCAAAGTTTTGATTGATTGTGGAAGTACCCATAACATTGTCCAACCAAGAGTTGCTTCCCTATTGAACCTACAAACCCAATTTGTCCACCCATTTTCAGTAATAGTCAGAAACGGTCAGTACATCCATTGCCAAGGGTTTTGTCCTAATGTTCAATGCGTCTATAACTATCAAACGCTCGATTCCAGGTACCAATTTTCGTTCTCCCATAGAGGGAGCATACGTCGTATTGGGTATTACATGGTTTAGCACCTTGGGATGACTATCAGCAGATTTCTCAATTCCTGAGATTAAGTTCATGCACGATGGACAATCCTGCACCTTGACCGGAGAATCCTGGAGTGAACAGGTATCACCTAGTGCATTATCTACCTTACTACGACAAGGTACCATCGCCTCTCTACACACCCTTAGTTACAATCCCACATCACCTAACCCACCCACAGAACCATTACAGCTCACTCACCCCAACCCTATAATACACTCCCTTCTCCAACAATTTCAAGACATTTTCCTGGAACCTCACTCCCTACCACCACCGAGACCCCATGACCATACCATTCCCTTAACAAACCCCAATACCACAATCAATTTAAAGCCCTACCGCTACCCACAATACCAAAAACAAATCCTGACATGGTTGATTACAGAAATGCTACAAAAGGGCGTCATACGACCGGCCAAAGTCCCTTTTCATTTCCCGTGCTTTTAGTAAAGAAAAAAGACGGACCATGGCGTTTTTATGTAGACTACCGGGCGCTAAACGCGGTAACAGTGCATGACCGATTTCCGATACCGACGATCGACGAACTACTCGACGAGTTGCATGGAGCCACAATCTTTTCCAAGATAGACTTACGCTCCGGCTACCACCAAATCCGAGTATCAGCAAAAGACATACACAAGACAGCATTTCGTACGATAGACGGTTACTATGAGTTCCTCGTAATGCCGTTTGGCCTCACCAACACCCCATCGACATTTCAGTCAGCCATGAACGACTTATTCCGACCAGCTCTCCGACGGTTCGTTCTTGTTTTCTTTGATGACATCCTTATCTTCAGCTCCTCCCTATAAAACCATTACAAACATCTGCAGATTTTTTTGAAAAATTACGCGAACACCATTTCCATGCAAAACCATCTTAGTGCATGTTTTTCATGCATGAGATCTCTTTTCTGGGACACAAAATCATAGCACAAGGCGTAGCCCCAAAAACCAGATAAGATACAAGCCATCCAATAGTGGCCGAAACCCACCTCGTTTACTACCCTACGCGTCTACTTGGGATGGGATACTACCGTCGGTTTGTCCCTTTTTATGCCAAAATCGCCTCACCTTTGACCAACATTCTTAAACTCAAAATCTTTCAATGTTCGGAGGCAGCACAGCACAGGAGGCTTTTCAACAGCTCAAATCGACCATGCAAGACCTAATCACGTTAGCCTTACTGGAATTTGAGTCACAATTCGATGTCACTATAGATGCCTCTGGAGTCGCTATTGGCGCAGTACTCTCTCAAAACAACATACCAATGTCTTTTTTTAGCAAGAAATTATGCTCGACCATGCAGGCCAGTCCACTTATACTAAAGAAATGTACGTCATCATAGAAGCAGTGAAAAAGTGGAAGCAATACTTGCTAGGAAGACATTTTAGAATCTACACAGATCATCACGGTCTCAAGCATCTGCTCACTCAGACGATTCAGACGCCAGCACAACAGAAATGGGTAACAAAGTTGATGGGATACGATTTTGAGATCAATTATAAACCTGAGAAAGAAAACTTGGTCGCCGATACTGTCAGCCGGTTAGAACTACAGGCGTTACATACCATCTCACACACCCGACAGCTACGGAAGAGATCAGGAAGTATTTCAAATACAATGAGGTGGGTAAACAACTCGTTGATCAGGTTCTCGATGACCCAACGACATTTCCACACCACTCCATTCGATATGGATTAATCTACCGCCATAACCGCATCCTGGCACTGCCGATTCAGCAACTTCACAACAACCTCCATCAAGAATTCCATGCA